TAAGTGATGTTACCCCACCATTGCTGATACATTTAAAACATTTAAAACATTTCAAATTGCTGAAAATTTAAAAACATCAAAAACACACTATGGCAGAACGGAAAAATAAATAATTGTATTAAGTTACAATTTTGTTTGATTCCATGATGTATTTTACTGAACATGAGTATTTACAATGCAAATCCAAATTATTGTAATTTACTGGCAAATACTTATCTTGTCTTTTCACTTTATTAAGATCAGATTCTGCATGTAAAATTACAATAATAAGGTGACTTGACTTGCACTTGACTTGACCTACTACAAGACTTGACTTGACTTGACTTGACATAGCCTGTGACTTGACTTGACTTGACTTGCCCCCCCAAAAAATACTTGGGACTTACTTGAGACTTGACGGTTAAGACTTGAGACTTACTTGAGACTTGCACATGTGTGACTTGGTCCCATCTCTGTTATGATGCTAAACATATATTAGTATATTACATTTTTAGGTCATTTTATTTCTGATTGATCTAGATTAAATCAATGATATTGTTAGGCCAGGATCCTTAATGAATGTTGACAAATGTAGCTTAATTGTAGGCTAATATTATTAATATTTATATTACTACCATCTCTCTCTCTCTCTCTATTGGTCGCCACAGTGGCAGTAATGCCATTCATTTTACTATCACTTTTATTCTTTATTAATTCAAATTAAATGAATATTTTTGATTGAAATTGCAAAAATGATGAGACCTAAACTGAATTGGTTCTAGCGTGTCATGCAAGAAGATTTGAGCTTTCGTGTTTACCGTATCATATTTAATTGATAAGCTCTTATGTATGTGCGCTGTTCAGTGTTCAATAAAAGTCTAAATTAAATCAGCTGAATGATGAACTCACCAGTCGATCTCTAAACTCTTTGAACTAGTCAGGATGAGCAACTGACGAGCGTTTTGGCAGATTTGATGTGTTGCCTTCCATGGCAAAGTTTGCAGAGTGGTGCATTGAGGTCTGTTTCTATTCTCATTACTTTAGTAGGCAAAGTAATGCCTTATTTCACTCATACTGCTCTCTCTATGTATTAATTTCGGGCGTGTAGAAATCCGAATGAGCTTCATTTCCACCCTGTTCCTTCGTTTGCCGGTTTCGCGTGACTCGCGTCAGTTTTGGTAGCACACTGCCGCCTAGTGGAGAAATTCGGAACAGCAGCTCATCAAATACCGAATTTAACAAAATTATGATATTGTACCGTTTGAAATTTATTTTATACCGGTATTTTTGCAATACCGGTATACAGCGCATCCCTATTTGGTACATTGAAATATTCGATAGTCACCTTCTCGAGTGTGGAGAAAGAGGCCCCCGAGGCGTAGACCCGGGCCGCGAGCTGAAGGTTCCCGGCGGAAACGGACCCGATGATGGGCTGGCTGTTCCAGGTCCTGGGAGACCACAGTGTGGGCAGTTCTGCTCGACCCGGAGGAACGTGCCATGGTCCTGGTCTGCGGGCGCGAGGCTCGTCCACACCTCAGGCACACCTCGAACAGCTCCAGGAGACAGCTCTCATACACGATGTACTTGGACATCTTGTGGGTCGACTGGACGGGTCCGTTCTATCAGAACAGAAAATATTTCACACTCTGTCAGAGTCAGTTGGGTAAGTTACTATTAGTTAAAAGTAATTAATTACCTCTTCAACAGTGTAATTAGATCACTGTACTAATTACCTCTCTAAAATGTATTTATTACTTTTAATTACTTTCAAAAATCCATATCAATCTCAACCAGCTGAATAATACAAGGATAGACATGAATCTGTTTAATTCTTTTCAATAAATACTATAAAATTGCATGAATTATCCTTAAACTGACCAAGGTGGAGAAGGTTACATTATAAAAACATACTTTTTAGCATCAGACAATACATTTTGATGTTAAACCCACTATTGTTTTATGTCTGATCTAATGACTTTTCACACTTTTTTCATACATATTTTACAATAATTCATACGAATTTGTACGAGTGTGGTCGTAATATTTAGACGCCTCATAAAATGCATACGAATCGCTGTGAGATCGGATTGATCTATACACAGTATTTACCTCAATTACATCAGAAGTAACTGTAATTAAATTACAGATTTAATCCCTTACTTTACATTTTCAAGGGAAAAGTAATTAAATTACACCCAACACTGGTCAGAGCTGACATAAATAATCATTTTAGGATAACAATCCTCTGACAAATAACTCACTTCACATCGGTGGACTGGGTCGCAGTGAGCGAGTGTAGGGGAGCATTAGTGACGTCACGTGGGCCTTCATTAAGCTCCTCCTCGTCCAGCCGGGGTCTCTTGCGTGACGGTCCCGAAGCGCTGACCGCCGCGGTGTCGACGCCAGCATCGGGGCAGGACACAGCGCCACCTTGGATCAGTCAACACAGGCATTCAGTGTCATCTTAGGAATTGCAAATTAAAAGAAATAAAAAGCCAATAGGGCTGGGCGATAAAACGATAACGATAATTATCACGATATAATCTTTCTCGATAAAACGATATCAAGAGGTCGATAAATGTTCCATAATGTTTATGCGTCAAAAGCGGAACGAAACTCATTTAAACCGCGCGCGCCACACATTTATCCGCTCGGCTCAAAGTCCGAACGGCAGCGCACTAAGCTAAGTTATAGGCTATACCTGGTTTTATCTCATGATCTAAATGCATGATACTGGATGACCAATGGTTAATTTGAATACAACTCAAACAGTCAGAATATTACTTTTTACCAAATAAAAATGTGGTTGGTACATAAAAAAAAACAAAAACAAAAAAACAAACAGATGTTACCGTTTTTGTAATTGAACATAAATTTAAAGAGTAGTTTAAAAACACATTTAACACTCATTTAGTAGCAAAAATCTGCCTTTAAACTTGAAAAAAAATACAGATTTGACATATATCGTGATAATTATCGATATCGACTGATATAAAAAAAAATATCGTGATCATTTTTTTTTGGCCATATCGCCCAGCCCTTGAAGCCATTTCAACTTACTACAGCTGAACCATAATAATGACAACAGTAATCGCATACATATGAACTAACTGCAGGAAAGCTGAATACATTGAATTTATAATACAAAAAAACAAACATGCAAACATTTGACTTAATATTATCACTTAGTATCACTCTATCTACATACAGTACTGTGCAGAAGTCTTAGGCACACTAGTATTTTTGCCTCAAAGAAATGGTTTTAAGCCAGTTATTTATATATTTTGTTGTAGTGTCTCAGTAGGAAATATCAGTTTACATTTCCAGACATTAATTGTGCCATTAATTGTAATAATCCAGTGAAGTTTTTGAATGCACAAGGATCCTGACAACAGCCAATGCTCCACACGGAGGTCAGATCTCATCTGAAATTACATGGAGAAACAGGAAAAACAGAGACTAAGACCAGAAGAACTGCGGCAACTGTGAAAAAGCACTTGTGTAAAAATGCTGTAAATGAGAATGTTTTCAAAAATAATGTCATAATCATAAATAGATTTTATTTATCAATTCATTTAATTAGTTAACTATTATTAACTATTAACTTTTAACAGTTAACTAAAATCAAATCAATAGGTGTTTAGTACCCTTTACGTTTAAGACAGCTTTTGTCCAGGTATTGCACGTAGTTTTTAGTTTTGCAGGTTTTTTCATGCGTCTTTGGAGACCTTGCCGCAGTTCTTCTGGTCTTAGTATGTCTATAATATTTTGTGTCTATGACAAACGCGTACAAACATGAATTTTGTATTTAAGTACTAATGTTGTAAATGTATTTTTCATGTATATATGTTTTATGACGTTATTTAATGCCAACGCTGTTTGAGTACATTAGTAGCCAGTCAGATGCTATTGTGTTAAACAAATGTGTGTAAAGTTAAAAAAAAAAAAAGTTCTTCAATAATTAATGGATATTTGAATAAATCTGGCAAGTTTTTATGACAGCCACCATTAAAATGTTTATATTTCATATAATCTTCTTACTATAAAAATAAATAAGTGTAATTTAAGTGTTTGTATAGCTACAAATCAGTTCATTATTACCTTCATATTAGGCTAATGAAGCCTATAGGCTACAACTAGACTCCCATAGTTTACAGCATTAGTTAAGAGATTTGATTCCCTTGAGAAAATTTGACATTTATTGTAACTGATATCCAAAATAATCGATATTGAATCGAAATCGAATCGAATTGTGAAACTTGTGTCAATACCCAGCCCTAGTTTACACTGCAGGTCTCGATGCCTAAATCCAATTTTCCGACTACATCCGATTTTTTTGACGACCCGCTTACATCATCTTTTAGAAGTGACCCGTCATCTACATCAGTCACCGATCAAATAAGGCTTCAGCGGGACAAAAATACGCCTTAGGCTGACCGAAAACAGCGCGCAAGTTTCAGTCTCCTTGCGCTCGATGTTTAAACTAGGGCTGGGGTAAACGATTATTAACTAAACGATTAGTTGGGTGATTATTTTATCGATTAGTCGACTAATCTAATGACAAATTGGACGACTAAAATAAAAAATATTTTTCTGCTGCTCAATTAATAAAAAACAATGTATCTCAAATAAATACTAGCATACTGAATCATGTATCATGAACACCATCATTATAACTCTACAACCGCCAAAACCGTGTTATTAAAATATTTTTTACAAACATTTTTTATCATAGAGAATGTTTAAATATTAATATCAGCTGAGGAGGGAAACTTTTTTTAAAAGCGTTTGCTTTAGTAGGGGTTAAATGAGACGAGTCACGACGTTTAACGGTAGGATCGGTCTGTACCTCCATGGGATTATAGTCTTTGGGTGAATACCTTGCTGAGAGGATTTCTGCATTTTGAGGACACCAAATACACACATGTGTTTAAATGATATTTTTGGTGGGTGTTAATGAGATTAAATGAGGAAAAAATTGGGTGATTAACTAGGCAGCTCGGTACAAACACGCGTGTTCAGTCCGCCATCTTAGCCGGGACTGAGTATGACGACGTCAGGCTAGATAGGCGTCTGCTAAATGATTAACTGTAGATGTAAATCTAACCTGTGCTTCTGAAGGGAGGTGTGTGAGTCTTCTTGGAGAGCGGTGAGCCACATGAGGGGGCGGTTGGCGGATCCGTCTGGCAGGCCACATGCGCAAACCCCACAGATGGACTCGGCTAAAGCACAACGGAAGAGATGATCAATACATGTCATCACACAAACTATAACAGCCCTTTTTTACCAATTTAGTTTTAAACTTTCAGTTCACATTTCACAACTTCTGTTTGTGCAAGCATTAAGTAACAGACACAGCTTGTGGAGGCTAACGTAAGGGAACGCACACGGAAAGATCACATGATTTGCTAGAGCAATTTCTTTTGCAATATTGTTTACTGATGAACACAAATAATCATGTAATGTAACTATTTACATCTCTCAATTAAATTCAGTTTTGCCCCGTGATTTTTTACCCCTCTATCATTTCAGTCTTGAAGGTACACACAAAAAAATAAAAATCATATTCTTTCTCGCACACACAATCGGTTACTCTACGAAACAATCACAATCGCGATTAATCGCATCCAAAATAAAAGTTTGTGTTTACATAATATATGTGTGTGTAGTGTATATATAAACACACACATATGCATGTATACATTTAAGAAAAATGTGTTATTAATATATCAAATATTTATATTTATGTATAATATTAATTTTGTATAAATAATATATATATATTTACACATGTAAATATTTCTTAAATGTTTACATGCATGTGTGTATATTTATATAATAAATAATTATTATACACACTACACACACATATATTATGTAAACACAGACTTTTATTTTGGATGTGATTAATCGCGATTAATCGTTTCCCAGCCCTAATATAAATATATACATATGCACAGTGCACTTCTTTACTTCAGTCTCACATTTGCTCCGTCTTGCTGATTTTGTCTCATCTACCTCCTGATCCTGAATACCTTTCTCATCCTTCGGTGAACGTGATTTTACTCAGTATGTGTTCCTGGATCAACTTTCCAACCAATCAGATTTTTAGAACCTTAAAAGGTTCTAAAGCGCTATGTATCTGGAACCCCTAAAATGCCATGCATGTGAATGATCACAAAATTCCAGATATGGGGGTTAAAAAATGTAATTAATCAATAATCACATGAAAAGTGAAATTTCAGTTTTTATCCTCCAAAAATCAGCATGATTAAAATGTGACATTAACCCCTTAACGTCTGAATTTATATAGCTGTATATAAAAAAATGTTTTATGTGTGTTTTTGCCTTTAAGTAGATGGTAAATAATGTTGAGATTATCAATTTTACTTTTGCACAACAAATAAATAGAAATTTTGGTATGTTGCAAATCTGACACAGCGGGCATAATGGTCAATTTGGAGTCTATTTGGTATGTTGCAAATCTGTAACAGCGGGCATAATGGTCAATTTGGAGTCTATTTGGTATGTTGCAAATCTGACACAGCGGGCATAATGGTCAATTTGGTATGTTGCAAATCTGTAACAGCGGGCATTAATGGTCAATTTGGTATGTTGCAAATCTGTAACAGCGGGCATAATGGTCAATTTGGAGTCTATTTGGTATGTTGCAAATCTGTAACAGCGGGCATAATGGTCAATTTGGAGTCTATTTGGTATGTTGCAAATCTGAAACAGCGGGCATTAATGGTCAATTTGGAGTCTATTTGGTATGTTGCAAATCTGAAACAGCGGGCATTAATGGTCAATTTGGAGTCTATTTGGTATGTTGCAAATCTGACACAGCGGGCATAATGGTCAATTTGGTATGTTGCAAATCTGTAACAGCGGGCATAATGGTCAATTTGGTATGTTGCAAATCTGACACAGCGGGCATTAATGGTCAATTTGGAGTCTATTTGGTATGTTGCAAATCTGTAACAGCGGGCATAATGGTCAATTTGGTATGTTGCAAATCTGTAACAGCGGGCATTAATGGTCAATTTGGAGTCTATTTGGTATGTTGCAAATCTGACACAGCGGGCATAATGGTCAATTTGGTATGTTGCAAATCTGACACAGCGGGCATAATGGTCAATTTGGTATGTTGCAAATCTGAAACAGTGGGCATAATGGTCAATTTGGAGTCTATTTGGTATGTTGCAAATCTGAAACAGCGGGCATTAATGGTCAATTTGGAGTCTATTTGGTATGTTGCAAATCTGTAACAGCGGGCATAATGGTCAATTTGGAGTCTATTTGGTATGTTGCAAATCTGACACAGCGGGCATAATGGTCAATTTGGAGTCTATTTGGTATGTTGCAAATCTGAAACAGCGGGCATTAATGGTCAATTTGGAGTCTATTTGGTATGTTGCAAATCTGTAACAGCGGGCATAATGGTCAATTTGGAGTCTATTTGGTATGTTGCAAATCTGACACAGCGGGCATAATGGTCAATTTGGTATGTTGCAAATCTGTAACAGCGGGCATTAATGGTCAATTTGGTATGTTGCAAATCTGTAACAGCGGGCATAATGGTCAATTTGGAGTCTATTTGGTATGTTGCAAATCTGTAACAGCGGGCATAATGGTCAATTTGGAGTCTATTTGGTATGTTGCAAATCTGTAACAGCGGGCATAATGGTCAATTTGGAGTCTATTTGGTATGTTGCAAATCTGTAACAGCGGGCATAATGGTCAATTTGGAGTCTATTTGGTATGTTGCAAATCTGTAACAGCGGGCATAATGGTCAATTTGGAGTCTATTTGGTATGTTGCAAATCTGAAACAGCGGGCATTAATGGTCAATTTGGAGTCTATTTGGTATGTTGCAAATCTGAAACAGCGGGCATTAATGGTCAATTTGGAGTCTATTTGGTATGTTGCAAATCTGACACAGCGGGCATAATGGTCAATTTGGTATGTTGCAAATCTGTAACAGCGGGCATAATGGTCAATTTGGTATGTTGCAAATCTGACACAGCGGGCATTAATGGTCAATTTGGAGTCTATTTGGTATGTTGCAAATCTGTAACAGCGGGCATTAATGGTCAATTTGGAGTCTATTTGGTATGTTGCAAATCTGACACAGCGGGCATAATGGTCAATTTGGTATGTTGCAAATCTGACACAGCGGGCATAATGGTCAATTTGGTATGTTGCAAATCTGACACAGCGGGCATAATGGTCAATTTGGTATGTTGCAAATCTGACACAGCGGGCATAATGGTCAATTTGGTATGTTGCAAATCTGACACAGCGGGCATAATGGTCAATTTGGTATGTTGCAAATCTGACACAGCGGGCATAATGGTCAATTTGGTATGTTGCAAATCTGACACAGCGGGCATAATGGTCAATTTGGTATGTTGCAAATCTGACACAGCGGGCATAATGGTCAATTTGGTATGTTGCAAATCTGACACAGCGGGCATAATGGTCAATTTGGAGTCTATTTGGTATGTTGCAAATCTGACACAGCGGGCATAATGGTCAATTTGGTATGTTGCAAATCTGTAACAGCGGGCATTAATGGTCAATTTGGTATGTTGCAAATCTGTAACAGCGGGCATAATGGTCAATTTGGAGTCTATTTGGTATGTTGCAAATCTGAAACAGCGGGCATTAATGGTCAATTTGGAGTCTATTTGGTATGTTGCAAATCTGTAACAGCGGGCATAATGGTCAATTTGGAGTCTATTTGGTATGTTGCAAATCTGACACAGCGGGCATAATGGTCAATTTGGAGTCTATTTGGTATGTTGCAAATCTGAAACAGCGGGCATTAATGGTCAATTTGGAGTCTATTTGGTATGTTGCAAATCTGTAACAGCGGGCATAATGGTCAATTTGGAGTCTATTTGGTATGTTGCAAATCTGACACAGCGGGCATAATGGTCAATTTGGTATGTTGCAAATCTGTAACAGCGGGCATTAATGGTCAATTTGGTATGTTGCAAATCTGTAACAGCGGGCATAATGGTCAATTTGGAGTCTATTTGGTATGTTGCAAATCTGAAACAGCGGGCATTAATGGTCAATTTGGAGTCTATTTGGTATGTTGCAAATCTGACACAGCGGGCATAATGGTCAATTTGGTATGTTGCAAATCTGTAACAGCGGGCATAATGGTCAATTTGGTATGTTGCAAATCTGACACAGCGGGCATTAATGGTCAATTTGGAGTCTATTTGGTATGTTGCAAATCTGTAACAGCGGGCATAATGGTCAATTTGGAGTCTATTTGGTATGTTGCAAATCTGACACAGCGGGCATAATGGTCAATTTGGTATGTTGCAAATCTGTAACAGCGGGCATTAATGGTCAATTTGGAGTCTATTTGGTATGTTGCAAATCTGACACAGCGGGCATAATGGTCAATTTGGTATGTTGCAAATCTGACACAGCGGGCATAATGGTCAATTTGGTATGTTGCAAATCTGACACAGCGGGCATAATGGTCAATTTGGTATGTTGCAAATCTGACACAGCGGGCATAATGGTCAATTTGGTATGTTGCAAATCTGCAACAGCGGGCATAATGGTCAATTTGGTATGTTGCAAATCTGACACAGCGGGCATAATGGTCAATTTGGTATGTTGCAAATCTGACACAGCGGGCATAATGGTCAATTTGGTATGTTGCAAATCTGACACAGCGGGCATAATGGTCAATTTGGTATGTTGCAAATCTGACACAGCGGGCATAATGGTCAATTTGGTATGTTGCAAATCTGCAACAGCGGGCATAATGGTCAATTTGGTATGTTGCAAATCTGTAACAGCGGGCATAATGGTCAATTTGGTATGTTGCAAATCTGAAACAGTGGGCATAATGGTCAATTTGGTATGTTGCAAATCTGACACAGCGGGCATTAATGGTCAATTTGGAGTCTATTTGGTATGTTGCAAATCTGCAACAACGGGCATAATGGTCAATTTGGTATGTTGCAAATCTGACACAGCGGGCATAATGGTCAATTTGGTATGTTGCAAATCTGACACAGCGGGCATTAATGGTCAATTTGGAGTCTATTTGGTATGTTGCAAATCTGACACAGCGGGCATAATGGTCAATTTGGTATGTTGCAAATCTGTAACAGCGGGCATAATGGTCAATTTGGTATGTTGCAAATCTGAAACAGCGGGCATTAATGGTCAATTTGGAGTCTATTTGGTA